CTATTCAACATATGTCCTCAAGCTTCTCTGAAATTCTTCATAAAGAATAGTCAAGGTTCCATGATCACTGGTTTACGTGTGTTTTGCTTTGCCTTGAAACCCGAGAAAAGATCAAGCTATGCAAGTCAATTCCAAATGCTTCGACCAAAAATCATCTGCAAGTTTTCTTTAAGAGTTGAAGACAATTGTGTTTAGAAATCCATGAGAAGACTTTATGGGACGTCTATCATGATTTAAGAGTTTCTGGATCTCTAAGTTCAATTCAGTGTGCCAATTTCTTAATGCGATAACATTTTGCCTCGAATCCCTCTTCTAGTGATCATTCGGAGCTTTTAAGCACGATTCGATTTCTTATACTTACATGACGTGGGGTGAATTTTGTTAGAGGTGATTGAATTCAAGATCGTTTCGGAAGAATTTATTTGGAATACTTGAATTTTTATCATGTGAATTCGAGTGTTAATTAAATAGAGATTATCAAAGGGGCTCATTCAAAAATAATCGTTCATCGCATTAATATTTATTAAAGATTACTTTGATGGATTCACACCATGGCCATTTGAATTCATATGAGACATTTATTCAAGAAGATATTGTAAAAGGAAACTTGATTCAAATAATCATTCATCACAAGAATAAATACATGATGGTTACAATTTTATTACAAGATCAATTCATGGAATTTATTTGGATCTCTATTACAAAATGCAAGATTGAAGTCTTAAGGCTTGCATTTTTATTTATTCATCATTCAAAAATCCATTCAAGTATTAATCATTCTTTTTCAAATCCAAGTGGAAGATTTTGAATTTCATCAAGATGAATAAAGATTCAAATGTTTAAAATTACAAAAGAATTGAGAATTATATTGAAGAACAAGTTTTCATTCATGTTACAATTTTATTTGGGTTTATCACTACAAAGTTACAAGGAATTATAAGTTGTACAAACTATTATTTCTAATATCCTAAAATTCCAGCTCAATATCATGTTGCTGCCCATATTTTCCAGCCCTGTTGCAATACAATAAAAATCCAATTTTTGTGGTATTTTGTTGTCTAATATGCAACAAAACAGTCCCAAAAAATACAGCAAAACAACTCCAAAATCTGATGTAAAAACAGCCTACAAAAGAGTCCCAAACTGTTATAAAATGCTACAGACAATCCAAAAAAAATAGCAACTTATAGCAGTCCCAAATGCTGGCAAAACAGCTATGAAACTGCAAACAAATCTGTTGTAAATCAGTCTGCTACAGTCTGCTTCCGTGCATCAAAACAGTCTAGAATTTGCATCAATATGGCTAAAGAAAATTGTATGAACAAAGCATCAAAACAATTTGTCAAAATAGTTCAAATGTTCTACTGTTTTTCCCCCTAAATGATTTGTTCTTTCACTATAAAACCCTTTTTATTGACAGAACTAAGGACACAAAAAAAAAAGCTCGGCAAGTGAAAAACAGAAAAATTCAAGGAACAACAAGAAAAACTCAGCAAGGATTAAAATAAAAAGGAGCTTAAGCATCAAAGGGAGAACTCATTGTTTTCTTAGAAGCTCCATCGAAGAGACTCTGATAGGTATTTCTTCTTCCCTATTTACTTCTGCATAACTTTCTCATTTACATATTTGAATCTTCTTTGCACCATTTTTTTTACTGCTGCATTTTTGTTGGCATTAGAGATGTTAGGATAATAATAACAAGTGTTGGGAAACATACAGTAATAACACAATAAATATATAATTAAAAAAACCATACCTCATTTGTCTCGATCGTTCAACCATAATCCCCTCCGCCAAACAGCCTTCATCTATATCCTATTTGGCATCACTTAAATATGATGACCAGTACTTCTTGGCAAGCTCTATGGATGGATCAATAAATCTATATGACCGCCGCATGCTCCATATGGGTGTTGTTCAATCTTATGAAAGGCACGTGAATTTTCATTCTCAAATACAGCTTAGTGTTGACCCAGATGAGAGATATGTTATGTCAGGCGGGGAGGATTGCAAGCTACGCATATGGAGTATAGAATCTGGGGAATTGCTTTTGGAGGATAAATTTTCTAATTCACTTCTCACCACTGTGTGCTATCAATCATTTAAAATTTAAAGCAGAGCAATAAAGCGCACACAAACTGTAAAGCTGTTATCAAAGAGGCTGAAGCTTTTCTTGGGGAACCGAAAGCTGTTGAGGCAGTACCTGAATCTGTGGATGATCATGAGACGGGGTTTCCAAATGGAAATTCAGAGGATTCTTCCAACATGGAATCTGAAATTCAAAAACCAACTGAAAAGAGAACAACAACATCACAACAGCCACATCCACGTCGATAATGATCCACTCTGCAGCCTTAAACAGTTCTTTCCACCGTCTTCAACCCATTCAACACACTCCATCTCATTCTTTCTTCCCCAACTAACCATGTTTTCTTCTTCTGTCACAAACAAAAAACAGAACAATAACATGCGATGAAATTGAAAACCCAGAAACCAGATCAAAAACTTAAAATGCAATAACACCAACCTCCCTAATCAAATCTCTAAACGCAAATCTGCTGCTGCTTCCTCCGTAATTTCCATCACCTCTTCATCATAAGGAGCATGTGCTAATGAATGATCATATCCATGGTTTTCTTCATGATTTGGAACTTGAAGAAGCGTGTACGCAACTTTCACCTGGTGATGACGACTTGTTTGATGTCTTGGGCGTGGATTTCAAAAGGAATCTGTTGAACGGAAACTAAAATGCTTTGTTTAACGATAAATCTGACGCCAATGCAGAAAATCTTGATAAAGGCGACGTCTACTAATTTTCCAGTTGTAGGTCATGATAATATTTATCTGGTTAATGAAGCGATATTAGGCAATGGCATCTTCTCTGGAACAAGCACCAGCCATCTCTTAGATGTCGTTATCTCAAAAACTCAACCTGCTTCAAATGAGAATTCCGACGAAATGTCTTGCAGGACTACAATAGCAATGATGTTTAATCTATTTTCCCTTCCCAAGACAGCAGCAGTCACGGCGCTTAGTTATTTAGGGTTACAAAATTTTCTTTGTTCTTTTCCAAAATCGGGTCAGCCTTTGGGCCTTTTGGACCATTTCAATTGTCATCATTCCCTTATATTTTAATAAAATCATAGATATAACAATTAAATAATATAACTTAGTTGGTAAGGCACGTTTACAATAACCTAGAGGACCTGAGTTCAATCCCTATTGGGACATTTTTTTTTGTTTCTTTGTTCTTTTTTTAGCCTTTTTTTCAATTCTATTAAATATTTGATAATAAGATATTAGTTTAATTTATTTTTAATTATTTCATGCCTTTACAAAATATAAAAACATGTTATAAATTTACCTTTTATTTAATTCTTGTTTATTCAAAAATATATTATCAAATTAGTCTTTATTTAATTTTTGTTGTTTATTAATTATTCCAATACATGCTAATCTTTTATTTATTTTTTTGTTCAAATACATGCTTATAAACTAATATTTTATTTAATTTTTGTTTAAAAATGCATGCTAGTATAATTTAATTTTCGTTATTGATTTAATTGTTCAATTGTTATTTTAATTAACTTTATTCTCGATCATTTAATCATTATATCTTTCGTCCGTTTTCAATTCAAGGAAAATGTTTTATGGACTTCACATCTTATACGATTGAGCGAACCCCTTCATTCATTTTAATTTTACTCTTTTGCTAAACTTAAATTAATTTTTCTAAAAAGAATCAATTTTGAAACACACCCCTTTTAAGTCAAAACTTCGACACTAGGTCGTCGTATCTTTAAAATATCGTCCAAACAAACCATTTTTACCCAAACGAACCATTTTAATCAAACAAACAATTTCAAAAGGTTCCTGCGGAGTATCGCAGATGCATTGGGTGCTAATACTTTCTCATTGCATAACCAACTCCCGAACTCTAGATCTCTTTTCAAAAAACGCCTTTTTTTATTACTTTTTAAGTATTACTTTACATTGCATATTTAAGGATTTTATTTCGCTCTTTTCCCTTTTCCTTTGGAAATAATAAAGCGCGGTAGCGGCTCTTACTTTTGTGAGTCGAGTTAATTAATAGCTCGGTCTCCGATTTACCCACTATATTTTTTATCGCTACATATTATGCCAGTTATCTCCACGTGAATTAGGGTTTATTTTCCTAATCATATGGCCTTCAAGAGGGGTTTCTATGTAGATTTATTCATCAGATAAATCTCATCATCCAAAGGCTTCAACCATGGTTTGAAGTTCAAATCATTGAAATAATCTTGGTATGGCAATTAGGAATAATCTTGGTATGGCAATTAGGGTTTTGTGCAAAAGAAGCTTTTCACTATGCAATACACAAGGAGGTATCATTCAAGAAAATCTTATCCATTGCAAGCTATGGTTTCTAGTGACTTTTCTTCATCAAAGGTCAATAAATTAGAGGTCATTTGAATTCAATTATGGCATATATGGTTGTTTAATTTAGAAGATGGAAACATGGTCATAAAGAGAGTTTAGCATACCAGGATAACATCCTTTTGACTAAAAGTTTATCTCTAACACATTCCTTTTTGCTTTACTTAGTTCAAGAGAAGGCAATCATCATAAATGCAAGAATCAAATCACTTGGCAATATCCATACAAGGAAAAGTCAAATGAAGCCAATTGAATTCTATAAAATCATTTCTCATTAAATCATAGCTATAATGTTGGATGCATAGATGAGGTTATAAAAAGAGAAACTCATTATTTCATCAAAGGGAAGAAGGCGTACTCAAGATCCAATTACATTTCAAAACATGGACAAATCCATAGACCTCTTCAAGCCACTACCTTATTCTATTACATCATAAAGAAACTACACAAAACAAGTTATATTACAAAGAGGAGTAAAAAAAAGAAGAAGAATACAAATGATAAAACCATGTTGACCAAATCTTCAATAAATCTTCCACTTAAAAAAAAACAAATCTTCTTCAATCCTTTTGTTCTCTTCTTCATGACCAAAGGTACTTCACATTAACACCAAACCTGCATAAACACAAGGTACATAAACATCATGAACCAAACATACACATACCATGCCTAGGAGTATGAACCTGTTGCAATATATGAAAATCGTACTGTTGTGCTACTACATCAGGAGGTTACTGCACCAGTTCCACCTTTGACATGCTTTCAATGCATAAAGTTTACAACCGGCATAACACAAACCTTGAAGTAGACACAACATTGACTTGCATCAGATATATCATAGACCACTAAACATAACCTGCACCAACTTCCATCCATCTGCTACAATATGCATCAAACTAGTATTACACTAATCATGCTGCACTATGATAAATGCCTACTGCAATAAGACCAACACACATCACAATTATGCAGTCATGAACATCATATCAATATTTCAAACTAAGGACCAAGGCATTTAAAGACAACTCGAGAGATGATATAACATAACTCAGTTCTAGACTTGGTCAGCACAGAGAATTAGTGTAAAAAAGCAATGCAACAAAATCATGCCATCCAACAGTTCATCGTGATCAATCACATATTTAAACAACTCACTTCAAACCTATCATACAGAATTTAACAACCTATAGCCCTATAACAAATTCATAACATAACACCAAAGGCATAACCATATGTGAGTCCCGCATACACAAAAATCATATATACACACATCATATTTCAGATGCAGGTATTCAAAAAAGATATATAAGCCAAGTTCCAATGCCATTCAAAATTCAATTCATATCCTGGCCGAATTCACATACACATGATAAAAAAACAAAACAAAAAATGTAGATTAGAGATTCACTTAGAAATGCAAGAAACTCAATTGTTTTAATGATATTGAGCCTATCGACAGCCCCGCATCAAACTAATAATAACCACTTACAACTAACTGTTAATTTCCCTCCTAACAACCTAAAACTATCATGTAACTAACTTCTTCTCATCTAACAGAATCATAACCACCCTTCATCCACACCATTAGATTCAATAACTAACTCTCAAATCCCTAATTGAATCCTCCATCCTCAATCAACTATATAAACACCTCAACCTCCATTCATCTCCTACGATAACCATTTTCTCACTTTTACCATCAATCTCAGAATTCACTCTGCAACCTTCTTCAACACACACCATTCATTCATCTCCACCATTTTCACAATCTTCATCCTCATTCTCCATTTCTCTTGCACTCTCAGAACCACCATTCTCCACCATTTTTTCTCTTATCCATCCACAAGCACCATTCACCATTTTTTTCAGATTTTTTCAGTTCTCTCTCTGAGATTCTCCCACCTCCCTTACCTTCACCACACGCTCTGAATCATCACTGCAATAGCTTCTCCATTAGAAGCTCTCTCCAACAACCAGACACCTCTTTCTCTCAACTCAGATCAACACTCACACGCGTAGAAAATAGAAAAAAGTGTAGAAGAAGAAGGAAAATTCGCATTCGCAGAATCAAGGGTAAAGAAAATACAAAATACCTGGAGTTAGCAGCTTGGATCGGGGTTTCTGGTTCTATCACCGTTCTCCTTAAAGAGCCGCCAGAGCATCTCTGGAAGGTAAGCATAGAACTCACTGATTCTTCATATTTTTCGACCTTTCTGCATCCGATGATGTGATATGTTTCTTCCTGAGCGATTCGCCTAAGGTGTAGTAGCATGATTCTTCAACGTATACGTTAAATTTCTGTTTTGCTTCCATCTAGGGTTTGCAATCTTTGTTAGATGTAGTGAGTTAGGGGAGATATTTGGTAAGGTGGGGGACAGATTCAGAACAAGAAGAGAAAGACGAAGAGAATTTAGGGAGAATTTTGAAGAAGGGAGGAGCTCCGCCGCCTCCGGTGCGGTGGAGCGATTTCCGGCGAATGAGATTTCTGAGAAGGGAGAGAACTTTGTTTTGAAGTCAGTTGAAACGTCACAAATGTTTTAACCCTAAACATCAAAACTACACCATTTAGTTTCTTCACTCTTTTTTTCATTTTTTTTAAATTCTTTTTTTGCAATAGTAAATCTAATAATATTGAAAAAAAACTGGAAGCTGATGGATATGGTGTTATCGGACTTGGATCTGAAGCTGATTTCTTTGGGCTTTCGTTTATGCACATTCTCCCTCTAAGCCCATGCGTTTTTTGAATGACTGGAGCCTTTTGTAACAAAAACCACCTTGTGCCTTCCCTGTGAAGCCCATATGCTTTTCTGGAGTGTGTCCAGACCTTCTGCTGGTCCACACACCCAGCCCACCTCTACACCCCCTGTTTCACATTTGTTCTTCATAGTTTTTGCTTCATATTTTACTTAGATTTTTTCTTTATCTTTTTTAGCATGATTTTAATTTATTTCTACAAAATTGACATGAAAAAGTATGTGATATTTTGATTAATAGTGTAGAATGTTTTCTTGATTTTTTTTTTCATAAAAATGATAGAAACATCCTTGATTTTCCCTTTAGAATTTTATGTGAACATTAAGGTTTTGGTATATTTTTCGTGATTCCTTTTGCATGATTTTTTTACAATATTGATGATGGATTTGGGTAGTTGATTCGTGCTTGTATGCTTCACATGCTCCCTTAGAATTTTTGATTCAATTTTAATCTCTCGATTAAATTGAATTAATATAGACCTTAGGCCTTTAATCCAAGCATGAGAACAATTAGGATTAGTTACCTTGATCCCGACTTTAGAAGCATGATGCATGATCACATTAAGATTAGTTTTTCTTAGTCTTTTTCTCTTTCTTTTGCATTGCATCCTTTTCCTTTTAAGACTAAAATTCTTTCTTAATCAAAAACTCAAAAACACTAACGAATATGATACATATAATACACCATAAGCCTTAAGTACATGAAGAGGAATTTGAATTTGAGATGTCTGAATCGATTATTCAAATTCCTTCATGTCATAGACTTTAGTATGATATATATCTCAAACAAGTTCAAAACTTAAAGGAGATGGATTCAGGTACCCCCATTAACCACTTGTGGGATCTCCTAACAAAACACTTTACAAATCCAAACTCTTTTACCTTAGGGCTTTTCTCTTTAACTTTTTTCATAAAGAACATGTTAATTCCATTATATGCAATATAAAAACGCATGGGTCTCCAAAGTTCGAGCAACAATGTTAATTGCTAGGATGCAAACTTAACATCGTTCATAAAAAACACACAAAAAACTAATTTTTTTAGAAGAACTGCAATGTTATGATTCCTTCACGGGATACGTAGGCACTAGGTTGTAAAACCTGGGCAAATTTAATAATGAAAACCTTTTATTTTCCCTTATCAACTCTCCCATGCATTCTCTTAGAAAGTAAGCATTAGATATAACACACCTTTTGATTAGAACAACAAGAATGGATCATGTTGAGTACAACAAATGTGAGGGGTGCAAACACATTCTCCTTGCATAACTAAATTTTGTACCCTTTCTCTTGATCACAAGACCATCTTATCCTTCATTTTGGGGTTTTCTCAATATTTTCCCTTCTTTCGGGATAAATAAAACTCAGTGACGACTCTGTGTTTTTTTTTTATGGAGCGACATCTAGCGAATTTGCTGGGGAATACTAAGCAAGTATGTCCTAGCTCTTGTTTGTTTTATTTTCATTGGGTGTTTATATTTATGATTTACTTGTTGTTTATTTATTGCATGCATTGCATTTTATTGCTTTCCACTATTCTGGATATTTGTTGTGCTATTTACTGAGATTTTCTGTTTTTCAGGTTGGGTGGGATGTTACTTTGAGGTAAAAGGCCCACTACCCAGGCCAAGATACACACAAGTTTAGAGTGGATAGTTATGTCAACTGTTGTGTCGTCTATAGCGGTAAAAAGTTGATATTAAAATATTTATTAACTTGACTGACAAAGTGAAAGTCACCACCATACTTTATTGTTTTTAAAGGAATGAGAAAAGAGCGAATAAAATCCAAAAAAAAATTTTAAAGCAAAACTAATAAAACAAAGATCTAAATAAGAGGTTGGTTATGCAAAGGGAAGGTGTTATAAGAACAAAATTTGGTTCTGCAATATTATCTCTGAATTTTGATAATAACAATGAGTATGATTGTAGGAACAATTTTGTTGTACTAATCTTTGTTATTGTAAGTACTTAACAAACAGATTTTGCTTCTTATTGATGGTGTGGCCAAGATATTATAAGATAAATGATTTCGCTTCTATGCTACACAAGTTCTGTTGAACAGTAGCAAGAGACACCAGAAGACTCTGAAGTGTAAGCCCTGATATTTGTCTAAAGAAAACAGTCAGAAGATCTGAAGACATAAGTTGTTACTTACGTCCAGATGTTGAAGACTCAAGCTTCTAAAGACAACGTGTTCTAAGGAAACATTCAGAAGATCGGAAGACAGAAGTTGTCACTTAAGTCCAAATGATGAAGACTCATGTTTATAAAAGACAATGTGTTTCAAAGAAACAATGTTAGAAGATATGAATACAAAGTTTCTACTGAAGTCCATATGCTAAAAAATTAGTTTCTAAAAGACAACTCGTTTCAAAGAAGACAAAGTTAAAAGATCTGAAGAAAATGTTTCTAACTGAAGTCTAGATGTTAAAGACTTTGTGTTTCTAATAACAAGGCTCTAGAGACAAGGATTCTTAAAGAATCAAGTGCTAAAGATTCTAAAGAAAGAAGGTTGGAAGATTCCAAAGACTTGAAGTTCTAAAGGTCCAAGGTTATCTACAATGGGTTCTCAAGACCAAGTTCTAAAGACTCTAAAGACGCAACTCTTAAGACTCTGAAGACTTGAAGCTCTTTTGATCTAAAGGTTTTCTACAACGGGTTCTCACGACCAAGTGCTGAAGACTATAAAGATGCAGTTCTGAAGACTTTGAAGACTTGAAGTTCTGAATACCTAATGTTATGTTCCCACTTCTAACCCCATGCTCGTAGAAGCCTCTGAAGTGAGGAAGGAAAGAATATAATGGTAACATAGTACAATAGTGCACAGTACGAAAAGCTTTATGCCACTACCTCTCCACTAACTTGAAGTGTGGAAGAGATAAGGACATAGCAGTACTATTTGTAACGACTCTTTTTCAAATAGCTAACGGCTCTATTTTTGATTGGCTATATAAGAAAAATAATCGTATGTTTAAGATGTTGATGAGCTTGTTGTATGTTGGTTGGTTGTTTGCTCAAGACTGCAAGTTGCAAGTCACAAGTTGTTGATGTTCAATGTTAAAAAAGAAAGCTTCCATTATCAGAACACAACCCAAAAGTCATCATCCACTATAACAATATGAAGAATTCTACAAGATGTTATTCAATCTACCAATCATACACATCTTGGAAGAATCATGAAAAAGCAAGGAGTTGTTGCTCGTATCTTGCTTAATGAAGAAAGAAGATAAAGATGAAGAATTCTTCAAGATTTCATTCAAATTATTAATCATATCCATCTTGATAGAATTATGAAGAAGCAAGGAGTTGTTGCTCATAGCTTGCTCAATGATGAAGATGAAGACAAGAAGACTACAAGATACTGCACTTAATTTAGATTTTATCCATCCTTATAGAAATATGTAAAACACATGAGTTGTTTCCTAGATTGTGTTATTGCTTAAGATCTTCATGTAAATTGTTTGTATACAAGAGTTGTTGCTTAGAATTGTGTCAAACAATATGTACTTAAATTAGGAGTAATATGCTTGATAAGAAGCACTCATGTAATCTCCAGGAAAAAAAATTTGTTTAGAATTAGTTGGTTCCTCAAGTGATCGAGTGAAGATCCGAAGTGAAATTTTGGCTGCAGATACTCAATGTCACGTTCAATGTTATGACACCGTATCTGACTTTCTATAAGACAGTAAATACAAAAACAGTAAAGAACACAGTCAATTGTTTACCCAGTTCAGTGTGCAACAACACCTACTCTGAGGGCTACCAAGCCAGGGAGGAAATCCACTATAAGAGATGTTAATTCAGGAATAAACCAACCAGTTTATCTCCTTCACTTAAGACCTACCCAATGCAACTTCAATCTAAGTACAACTTAAACCTGAGTTCCTACTCACTCCCCCTCAATCACAGCAGTGATACATAGAAACAATTTGACTAATGAATTGTTGAAGACACTCTTCAAAACATACACTTGATTAAGCTTCACAGCTTTTTAATCAAGCAACACAAACACTCTTGCTTCACAGCTTTGAGTGATACACAAACCTAACTTGACTTTGCTTCACAGCTTTAGTCAAGAGACATACAAACACTCTTACTTTAAAGATTTGAGTGTTACACAACCCTTACAATTAAAACCTATTCCAAGTCACTTATCACAATGATAATTGCTTGGATTACAATAGTAAAAACTATACAACTTCTAAATGATCTTCTGTCAAAAAGGGATTAATTCCAAAACAGCAGCTCTGTTGAATATATAGCAGCTGCATCTTCAGTTAGGGTTTCCCCAAAAAGCTAGGGTTAATTCCGTTTGACCTTAAGACTAGGTCACAGGACTTTATCAACCAGGTTAGGGTTGAGCTAGGTTAACCCAAAGAAAACGCAGGATTCTGTTCTGGAAAGACTGAGTCATTTTCCTGAAAAAACTCAGAATTAACCAAACTGCATACCTGTTAGTTCAGAACAGGATGTCTTAACATCTGTTATGACATCTGAAAACCTGTCTACTGATTTAGG